CTACATATTAGTATTATCATCAATGATTGGAAAAACCTCCTGAGATATATGTAGAATGCCATGCCTAATGAATTCTACATATTAGCATTATCATCAGTTGATTGGAAACCTCCTGAGATATATGTAGAATGCCATGTGCTTAAAGCCATGAAACAGATAAACTCAAAATACCCTCAGCAGGATCAAAATCATGATCGATTCAGTTATTTAAATACTGCAAAGCTATGAGGGCTATCTGCCTGTGAGGAAGGATGCCTTCGTAGAGGACATTCTGTGGGAAACTAGCATATTACACAGGAGGAAAAATAAATAATTATAAATTTCTTTATTTCATTGCATAAAAAAATAAGAAATTTTGTTTATTATTTCTCATTCATAAATAATTATTTTGATATAATTATTCAAGCTAATTTGTTTTAGGTGGCATTCGGTACTTCAATTTATCCCAGTTTTGGGAAAGTATTTCTAGGAGCAAAATATTGTGTGCATTTTATTCTCCTTCGAAAAAAATTTCAACACTTCAAATGTATTTGTTGCCTATTTTTATGTCATACTTTCTCTGTGTATGTATACCATACTTCCTCGGAACGATATATGTATATAGACGACTGTCGTACTTTTACGTCGCATCACATCTTTCAAGAAGCTCGTTTGCTTTAACTGTAAATGATGAACCGTGGAGGATTCTGTTAGGAAATCTGCCTCACATTTGTACTCCACATGGAGAAATCCACACAAATTCTTATGCTGCCAGGCATATGCCATGATTCTGGTCCAGGTCGAAAGGTCAAATTCTTTGAGTTTATCCATTCAGCCATCAGAAGGCCCAGTTTTATAAAAAATTACTTGAATCGGGTCATTGAGAATTTAATAATTTGCTGTTACATAGTATGTGTTAAATAACGTACATATTGCATAGATTTAAAATTCTAACATATTATAGCGGTAATATCTCTGAACACTAGTACTTGAAGCCGGTGTCTAGTTCTGGGGGACAGGCTGACTCTATGGATATTTTCCTGGTTTTCCTTACGTGTTAACGTCAATGCCAGCCAGTTTTCCTTGGGCAGTTCTCCACTAAGGGCATCCCTTCATTGGACAGATAACACTTACTTGCTTTGCCATAATCAAATAAATAAAACTAAACCTTTTGCCATCTTTTAAAGAAAGTTTCACATGCAACATCTGTAACAGCAATGAGATAATTTTACTTGATCGCATATTTCACATTGATATATTTTACCCATTCCAGTATTCAAGAGGATAATTATAACACTATTTTGGTTGATCATAGAAGAGTTAGAAATGGATTATACAGTAGATGGAAGTAGATGATAGAAATTGATCTTTACACAGGTTTGGTTTGGTTTATTTAATTATAGCAAAGTACACTAGGGCTATCTGCTTAAGGGGAGGGATGCCTTCGTGGAGGACTTTCTAAGGGGAACTGGCTCGTATACACGTTACACATGGGGAAAACCACAAAAACGCCCATGCAGCCAGCCCGTTTGCGCAGATCTTTACTTAGAGCTTGTACAATTGTTACATTGTGGTTGAACTGACTGCTTATAGTGTATACAGGTAGATAACATGCATTTAAGCATATAAAATTTATAAGTAAAAATATTACTTTAGAATGAATATTACACAAGTATTTTTCAGAAAAACTATTTAAAAGAGAAATATTGTGTGATATTCATTCTAAAACAATATTTTCCTCCTTAAACTGTCTTTCTGAAAACCATAACTTGTTTTATATGTAATATTTTATAAAAGGATTTAAAGAAAATTTAATCAATTATTCTTTAATTTTCCTTTAAAAGAAAGTGTATTTAGTGTGTTTCTTCTCAAGGTATGCTATTTAGATTATTTCTTATCTTCCTTTTAGAATACTTACAAACAAATAAAGCTCGTATATTTGAGATCATTTGATGCCTAAACCATATATTTATTTATTTGCAAGCATTTTTAAAAATCTGATGTGAACACTGCATAATTTCCTTGTACACCTAACAGAGTAATCACAATTTTGCTGCACTTCATTTAAACTTATTTCATTTGAAAATGAGATATGATCTTCCAATTCAAAGCGCCCTTTAGCACTGCTGATTGCAATATAAAAGGGAGTTGCACAACTAGATATTATAGCTGTCCCAAATAAGAAGGTTTCAACATTCTATGGCTAATCGTTTTTGAGTTACGCGAAATACATACATACATACGTACGTACAAACATCACAGCGAAACTCGTCCTAACTCCCAAATATAAAATTCCAGCATTTTATGAAGAACCGTTTTCAAAGTTATGTGACATGCATGAGTATTGACGTCACAACGAAACGAGTCAAAATAGATATTTCCTATGAAATCTGAAAATTTAAATTTTTTACGATTGTAATACTTTCTCTACTTCGCGCAAGGAGTTAAAAATAGTAGGGTCATTCATATATGTGAAGCTACTTTGTATTCGGGCCAATACATTATTTCATTTAATTAAGAATGTAGCCTTGGCGTGCAGCATATAACATTACTTGTTCGCTGATAGAACTTTTATAAGAATTCTTTGCTAAGGGGGGATTCAGTGAACAAGTTCAGCCAGCAGATATCTTAAATTGCCAATGAACACATTTGCCAGCAGATATCGATATTGTTATTCACCTGACTCAATTATCTTAATTATTAATAATAAAAATTGTTACCCAAAATAATTTCTTAAATTGTTATCGAAAACGATATCATAAATAACTTAACTATTAATAAATTTACAATGCAATATAAAGAATTATTTAAGCCTGATAGTTTAATCTGAAATAAACTTAAAATATTTGAAAATTAAAACATTATATTAAAATAACTTGCGCATAATATATATTTGAAAAACTGGAATACAATAGAAAGAAGTTTTTACATATTTCCTTTGACTATGTATATTTAAAATTATTTCCATGGAAAATGTCCGTAAAAAATGCAAGATTAATTTTTCACCAGTATCAAAGCAATTTGTTAAATAAACTCAAAATTTAAAATATATTACGTAGTTTCTATTAATGATGCATATTGACTATATTTCTGTATTCGGCACATATCCTGATTAAGCTATGAGTAATATATAGCGTACATGTTAGTATCAAAACTATACAATAGCCAAAATATAATTTTGCAGCTGCGCGTATTCCGAAGATACCATATGGAGAAAAACTAATTTCACTCCCTTATTTCAAGGGAGGGGAGAATTACCTTAATGATTTTCACATGTTGGGGCACTCGCTTTTCAAGTAATTTGAGTCAAAATACTAGCCGGTTTTGCAAAAGACCAATCGAGTATACATGATTATTTTTAATGCGGTTTTCGGAAAAAGCCTTGCTGCTCAGAGGCTTAAAATAACTTGATGACTCATTATAAAAAAATTTGACTGTTACAAAAAGCGGCCAAGACATTTAATTTCAAAATTTGCTGTACAGTACAAAGTCCGTAATCCGGACGTCCATTATCCGGAATGATCTATAATCCGGACCTCAAAGCCACAAACTTATACATGCTCATTTGATGCGCTCATCCGCTACACATGCGCGTAAAGCCAGTAAAGCGTTTACCCATGCGTGCTTCCGATAGTGAAGAAAGTGACAGAGAAAAAACGAAATTGAACGTTATTAAAAACGAAAAAATTTCGATTCACAAGTTAGTCGGTATTCTCGACACAGCAATTACAGGACTTAAACAGTAATAGAATTAAAGAGAAAGTATTAGCACAAAAAATGAAGTAACTTAACAACTTACATTGAAAGAAATGTTTAATAAAGTAAAAATAATTATTATCTTTTTTTTTTTTTTTTTTTTTTTTTGTTTTTTTTTTTTTTTTTTTTTTTTTTTTTTTTTTTTTGTAAATTTGATACCCTTTAAATAATAATTGCTCTTTGTTTCATAAATTACGGTTTAATATTTTTAATTGTATAATTTCTGCATGCTATCTTACCAGATTTAAATTGATGATCTATAATCTGGAAAAACCCCTAATCCGGAATCGCCAAAGTCTTGAGAAGTCCGGATTACGGACTTTGTACTGTTTTTGATATTTTTAATTGTACTTCATAGTAAATATGTGTTCATTAGACATATTTATCTTTAAACTGTATTCTTTTCATCTTAATATGGCAATTTTTTTGTAATGTTCATAACGCATGCACATCAGGAAATGCCCACATTCAAATACACAAAAGTTTGACTTGTTACCTGCTTAATTTCTAACTCGAGTTTGATTGAGAGCATCTTGGGAGACAGATTCATAGAGTCTTATCTCTTCCTCAACTCTCCCAATGAGAATGTTTTGATTAATGACTTTGAGTTTTCCTATTCAGCAGCAAAAATATTGTTTTTTATAAACTTTCAAAGCTTGGAGTATAAACCTAGTGAATAACCAGTAGTCTTCAGTTATGTCATACTGATTGAGGTGGCATATAGTAAAAAAGAATTTATATATATATATTTTCAAATTTAATCAAGTTCATATTCTTTAGCCTTAAATAAATAAATATTGTGTTCTGGAAATTATTAAAGGACAAAATATTTTGTTTTTTAATGTGGTAATTCCAATATTTTCTAGAAAGTGCAAAAGTAGTAAGCTAGATGTAATATATACAGCTTATAAATCCAGACTTATATGAATAATTCTTTTGTATAATTTATCTTAGAGCTCATTTTGTGTATAAGATTCTTTATGAGAACTCTATGTTTATAGTTCTAAGTTCGATAATTTTAATTTTCTGAAATTGTTAAGTTAACTGTCACCTAATTATTTTTTATTTTTCTATCCAGAAAAGAATAAATGCTGATGTGCTAGTGAAGGTTTCTCATGTGATAATTTCTGTTTGTGTCATATTTGCTATTCTTTCATGATGCAAATACTGTTGTTATAACAAGAGAGCAGATTTTAATTTACATAATTTTTTTACTTTTTCTATTGAATATGTGTAAAATAATTTGTTTTCCCCATTCATTATAGATGCTTTCCAAAAAGGGAACTTCAACCACCGGAGCATCCCATGGTTTGCCAGTATTCAGGGAGCAAGCACTCTATAACACAGTTTGTGATAAAATGCTGTCAAGGATATGATTATTGTAATCGAGATTTATCTCCAACTCTTGCCCCTCGGACAATTGTCATGGGTAATCACACTTTCATTGCTGTAGTTTGCTTCTTTAAATTATGTTATGTATTCATTTCTGTAAATGACTGAAGGAATAATCCCAACCCCCTTTTTTAGATTGAGAAATTTATTTCTTGATTGTGGAATTATTCTTTTTTTGTTTCACTTAGAGTTAATTCTTTTTTTGTTACACTTAGTTTTTTTGTTTCACTTACTTTAAAAAGATTTTTAATCAAGTTTTTTAATTCTATTTTAAACCATGTTTACAGGAAGTGATATGCTGGATAAAGATCCTCGGTTAGGTACACTGGAACTTGCCTTTATTATTGCTGCTCCTATATGTGCTGCTTGCATATTTGCTGTAATAGCCTGGGGGTTATGGCAGTTAAGGCAGAAGCATCGCAGATACCAAGTTGATTGTGAAAACTCATTAGAAAGTTGTGAGCCAATGTTACCTCCTAATCATTCAATCAAGGACATGATTGATATGACTACTTCCGGATCTGGATCAGGTTTTTCTTACCTTATTTTTTTCATGTTTAGCAATATTTCATGACACTGAAGACGTTGTGACAAAGTTTATTTAAAAAATTTGCTGTTACAGCAAAATTTAAGTGATTTGTTATAGTTTATTGTTATTCAGTTTAATTTAAATGTCACAGTTCAGCATAAATATTAATTGAAAATCTGTGCTATAATTAATGCTTAGTGACATAATACTGTTTTATAGTTAATTGTTTTGTATTTCTTACGTATAAGAAAATCGGTTTTTTCACTTCAAAAAATACATTAATTTTTATATTGGAATTTTTTTAATTTCTTGTTTTGCAACTTATTTAAAATATTACATTTGACTAATTTTATATGTTTATGTAATTATGAAAAGACAATTTTATGCAGACTTTGATATCAAAAGTAGCATTAAAATATCTGCAATTAGTCTTTGATTAACCTGACACAGTTGGGACTGAGGTGAAAAACCGGTTGGAGTTTCAAATGGTACTGTCTATCATAGCATCATTCTTGGGGGCTGGTCTGATGTCTAGCCACAGTACATCATGTTTTGTGTTGAGAAAAGTCAGTTTTGTTTCTGTTGCAGGGAAAAAAAAAAAAAAAAAAAATTGTTGTAATTGAAGCACAACTTTAGATTGTGTTGCAGAGTTGGGATTTACTGAAGTTAATAGCAGAGATTAGGCATATCCAAACTGTGGTTCATGAGTCACGTCTCTCTGTTTCATTAAATGCGGCTTCCGTTGTGGCAAATAGTTTTCATTTAAAAAATAAAATTGGAATCTAAAGCAGATACAATGTTTTTTTATCTTCAATATGCATATTTGCTAGGGGAATGACAAAATTCAATATCTTTAAAGGAAATACATACTCTTTCATCTCCCTGATAAAGTAGCCTTGTTCTCTTCAAGCTTGTCAAGTCTACAAGTAGATAGCCCACTATCACTTTGGTAATAACAGCAGTAAACTCCATCCATGATATAGTTCAGTTTCACTAGTCAGTAGTTTACTCATTTACATAAGAAGGTTAAAAGAACACTCCAAGCAACGATTAATTTAGAAGTCAAACAACGAAAATCAGCATTATATTTGCAAATTTTTCAGGACTAGTTTTAATGATTTTACTGAACCAACTTACTCAGCTACCAAAGTGCAAATGAACAAGGATAAGATAAGAAATGAATGGCTAAGCTACTGACGCCATCTATTGATGAAACAAGAAAACTAAAACATAATTTCATTAAAGACTGAGGGTATAGATGGATTAGAATTAGGGTCGTTAACTAGAACAGAAAGATTTTTTTTATTGTGAAACACCTCCAGAAAATGTAATTTACCAATGGAAGATGTTTTTATGGATAATTTTGGCTGCAGAAACATGGAAATTGTGATTTTCGGACCAACAGTGTTGGGAAACAAAGGATTTCTGAGTTTCCTTTTCCCTAACATCTGCCACATGTTCTTTAATGCAAGATTTTAAGACTCTCATAGTTTGACCAATGTAAATTAAACCACATTGGCAAGGAATCGTGTAAATGTCCCAGAAATTCATATCTGGAATGGAGTCCTTAAACTGGGAACTGGGAATTTTAGTGATAGGAGAATAAGACTCAAAGTTTAAATTTCTGTAAAATGCATTCAATTTTATAGCTAACTGATGGAAAGTAAGGAATGGCAACAGAATTCTTATAATCTCCTAAAACAAGAGTGTGTCTTTTGGTATGTTGCGAATTTTTTAACTGCTGTGTTAATAATGTTAGGTGAAAAGCCCCTGTCTATAGCAACCGCATTTAAATAATTTAGTTCTTGATAAAGAGCCAGTTTGGAGGAGCAAACTTGAAGTGCATGGAAAACAAAGGAATAAAATGAAGCAATCTTCTGTTTAGTCAGATGGTGTGATTTGAAGGGTGGTGGAAGGCAAACTGCTGGAGGTTTATGGTAAACAGTATTACTGAAGTTGGATGTGTTACGCATGACCAAATTTTCAAGGAACAGAGGAGAATTACATATCTCAAGTTCAAAAGTGAACTGAATAGGAGGATAAATGATTTCATTATTGAAAGAACTTTATTTAAATCATCTTATTGCCATCAAACAGGGTAAAAGTATTTTTAAAGTAGTGGAACCATACCGGGAGGATTAAAGTTTCAAATAATAATTGATTCATAATAATACATGTAGATATCAGCCAGGATGGGAGTAAGAGGGCTTTCCATGGCTAATCCCTCAGTTTGTTTGTAATACTTATTTTCAAAAACAAAATGCGTTTGTTTCTAACAGAGTTGAGTAAGGGATATTAGCTCATCAATTTCTATGGCGGAGATTGAAACTCATCAAGTCTAGTTTCTAGACATCTTAAAGTGTCCTCCACTGGAACATTGGCGAATAATGATTTACATCAAAAGAAACCATGAGAAAATTTCCAGAAGATATGCTTTTAACTTTTCTAGAAAACTCCATACAGTACAAAGTCTGATATCCCCGGACTCGTCGAGACTTCGGCGATTCCGGATTTGGGATTTTTCCGGATGTTAGATCATCATTTTAAATCTAGTAAGATGGCATGTAGAAATTATAAAATTAAAAATATGAAACCGTGATTTATGAAATAATGAAGCATTTATGATCTAAAGAGTATCAAAATTTACAAAAAAAAAAAAAAAAAAAACTTTATTTGTTTACCTTATTAAACATTTCTTTCTATGTAAGTTGTTTATGTTGCTTCGTTTTTTATGATAATACTTTCACTTTAGTTCCGTAGACAGACATAATCTCTTGTTTAGTTACATTGTTGAAGTCCTGTAACTGCTGTTTCGAGAATTTCGACTAACTTGTCAATTGAAATTTTCTCGTTTTTTACTAACTTCTCTGTTTATTTCTTCACTATCGCTATTTTCTGGATCTAGAACCATACTACAAATTTTAATATTCATTAATTGATTGATGATTGAGAAGCATTGTCATCACAATGAAAAACTTATTTTATATCATCTTCATTTATTACCGCTTCTCCACATTTCTTTACAAAATCTGTTAATTGGAAAAATTTCACCTTTGTTTTGCGATATCCGAAAAACCTATAAAATTAGCGCCTATCATCATCAAATTTAGCTATCCTTCACTATACATATTTGGCTATGCATGATTAGCTTGGCGACTTACGACAAGTTGTTCCGCTAAATTTTATCTTGCTTCTATCGCTTTCTGAGACAACTAAGCCAGAATTCTATTAGTTAAGTTATTCATTATACTTATTTCTATTTCTTGCACATGCTTAAGGCTTATCAGAATTCTGAATAAATAAATTCCCACATATTCTTAAGCGTTATTAAGGGCCGGCGCTAGATATCTTATCACCTGATGCCTCTGTGGGTCCTAAATTCTGTGATTCAATGCAGCCATACGAGCCCTGGCGCTGGTTCTGGAATTATGTGAATAATAAATCAGTTATTCTTAATTCAAATAATCCCTAAATGTAATCTTTGGGTCTATGAGTATCATTAACAAAATCTATTTTTAGCATATGGAAAGAAATTTTTGTTAAATTTTTCTTTGTCATTTTTTAACATTTAACTTAAATTGAAATTCGCCAAGCGTAATGTCGACATAAAAGGTTACCAACTTAACTGTATCGTATGGTGGTGGTGTGTATTTAATTATGGCAAAGCACACTACAATCTAAGGAAAGAGATGGCTTCGTGGAGGACTTTCAAGCTGGCTAATGTCGGAGAACTTCATAATGTCAGGCTCAGTCGGAATTCTCTGAGGATACTTGGCAAGAGCATAACGAACTCCTGCTGAGTGACAGGAAAAACATAAAGTATCAAAGTATTATTATTCAATTACTAAAAAAAAATTGTTTTGGCATCGCTACATGAGTCATTACTCAAGTTGTCATGTTTTGATAAACATGTGGTGATGAAAGGAAAGTATAATAAATAATGATTAGCCATGCTGGCATCAGATCAATGATGTATCTATGTGAAATGTTTCGGTTTGAGATGTGTGTCAAGCAGGGATGCAGCAACAGAGCCAATAATGGACGTCCGGATTTCGGACTTTGTACTGTATAATTTTTTATGGTGTAAATGTTATTATCTTATAGAGTTGAAAATGTAGAAATTAAATATTTAGCCAACAGGTACGAGGCAGTGCCTAAATTTGGCACAGTTGGGCGGAAAGCAATACCACTTTTATGAATGTTGGGAAGAGCATATAATCTGGCATAATTCGCAACAGATGTGACTAGTGATTGTTTTAAGTTGGTCGAAAGGATTTGTGAAGATTTGATCGCAGTTTTTATTTTTGAGATGTCTGAAGGTGAAGGGTCTTTAGGGACTGGATTATAAGATCCTTCGTTTAAGAGTTTAGTGACACCATCAATGTAAGTGTTCTTGTCCATGATGATTATCTGGCTGGCCTTTGAAAGGATAATGTCTGGGTTAGACTGAATTTCACGCATTGTAGCTCTTTCCCTCACGTTTAGATTTGGTTTCAAAGGCTTATTATTGAATTTTGCATTATGGATAGTGAGATGCCTAATCATTTCTTTCTGCTGTATGTGAAACTTTACTGAATTTAAAAGCTTTTTCGATAAGAGCCAAAATCCCTGAAATTCAGGGGCTTTAGTTTTGTAAGAAGTTAAAATTATATTTCAGAATTCTGTCTTGTTCTTCTGATAAACTAACACTAGAAATATTAACTATTGGCTTAATATTTACAATGGGAAGAGTTTTTGAACTACTTAAATTGGAAGACTGAAAGGTTTTGGAGCTTTAGTGGAAGGGTATTTTTCTGATGATTAGCTATATTCTCAGTTCTGTACCAGGACTTTTGTTCAGTGGCAGTGAATTTAGGATAAGAATGAACGATGGATTGATTTATGGAACTCGCTAATTCTTATCCAAAATTCACTGCCACTGAAGAAAATTCCTGGTCCAGAACTCAGAATATAGTTAACCGTCATAAAAATGTCTACGCATTTTGCAATCCAGTCTGGCCATAATTTCCTCTAAGCTGAATTTTATGGTCCTTTAGGTCGTTTGCTGCTAGGCATTGTTAATCAGCTGTAAGCAATGAAAAATATTAAAGTGATGCTTCCTAAAATCCCTGAGTATTAATTATGTGGCAGAGATTGCCTCAAAACACCTTTGAAAGTCATATGTTACTGACTTAAGTATCAGTAACTCAAGACACCATCCATCGTCCAGAGCATATTCAGATAGTTTGTGAAGTGAAGTGAAATGATGTAATCGTGATTCAAACTTCCACTGCAGGACTGTATTTTCTCAAATTTAATGCACGTCTTATCCCCCACATGAATGTTGTGAAAAGAGGTATATTAGAATTGAAGAAATTTACTATATTCTAAATATTTGATGTAATGCTGAATTAATAATTCATAGTTCTATAACTGACTGTTTCATATTTGTATGATATCTAAACTGGTTTCTTTACTAAATTTTCTAGGCCTTCCATTGCTAGTTCAAAGGAGCATTGCAAGACAAATTCAGTTAGTGGAAATCATTGGCAAGGGCCGTTTTGGAGAAGTTTGGAGGGGCCGTTGGAGAGGCCAACCTGTCGCTGTAAAAATATTTTCTTCAAGAGATGAGCGCTCCTGGTTTAGAGAAGTTGAAATATATCAGACTGTTATGTTACGACACAGCAATATTTTAGGATTTATAGCTGCTGATAATAAAGGTAATTTATTAATATCTGCATGTTTTGGGGAACTTCCTGATTACCTTAACCACAACTGAAAAGTTAATGAAAAAGTGTTTATAAGGCAAAGAAATATTTCGGTGAAATAGTTTTGTGGCAATTTCTGATGTTGCTATAAAGTATGTGCATTGTACATATTTGTTTTGACCAGTGTGCAATATAGAAGTTGTATGGAGCCAAGTTTATGCAAATTCTCTAGTCTTTTTAAGTAGAAAAGGTTTGGTGTACACATGGCACCAAAAAAAAAAAAAAAAAAAAAACAGTGGCACCAAAAAAAAAAAATTTGAAAGATGTGACTTTTTTTATTATGAATCTTTCTTGCATTTTAAATTTTGTTGATTGCTGTTGTATGAACTAGTGCACCAACATTTTTAAAATGGATGTTGCCTTTTATACATTAATTTGTTACTTTTATACATTAGTTAGGAATTTATTTTCCACAGAAAAAAGTTACAAAACGCACCACCAGGGAGGAAATGGCACCGTATGCAATATTGCTAAATGATATAAGATATGAAGACATTGGTTTAAAATGTGTTTAACCGTTTCTGAAACATGTTACAAAACATGTTCAATGTGGCATCCACCAGTTTCCAAAAGCAAGTTGAATCATATTACTGCATTCTCAACAGCATATCAGGAGGAAAGTTACAGACATGCTGCTGTATAACATCGTTCATTTCCACCAAATTGTTTAGATTAGGGGTGTGGGCTGCTGTTGGCCCACTGAAGGTAGGTATTTTGATGGTCCCACATTTGAATTTGAAGAATTTTAAAGAAATTTTGATTTCGAGAAAAATTGCCTTGTAAGCTTTTTGTTGTTAAAAAAAACTTTTTTTTCTCTTATTCTTGATATTTAAAACATTTTATTGGCATGCCTGATATTTGAGATAACGTTTTCTGAAAATAATGAGTTTTTCAAAAATTTCACTGTTTCGTACGTAATTTATCTTATGTAATATTGTTCCAACTCAACTTCAATTAGAATTTATAGATTTACAGTGTGACTCTACAGTAAAATGCAAGTTTCTTGAAAATCCTACATTAATTTATTTTTATTCGAAGTCTGTGACCGAAGACAAGTATTCAGGAATTCATAAACATGCATTCTTCGTGCCTTCTACCTTTGGCAGTACTTACATATGTGGACAGCTTTTTTGTAAAATGAAAATCCTAAAATCAAAACCAAGAACACCACTGAGAGACAAACATTTGGATTAAACTTTACGAATTGCAACAACACAGATTCAACTGGATATTGATGCTTTAATCAAGTAAAACAATGTCAAATTTCACATTAAAACTAAAGTAACTACCATCTCCTGCTAATAATGCAAGTTTTTTTTATTGCGAATGCATTTTGTAAAATCATTCTGTACAATCATCTTTATACTTTTTTTAATAGTTAAAAAAAGATTTAAAACATTTTAATTCGATTTCCAATTGACCTTTTGGAACCAGTGTGTGTGTGTATATGTATACAAATCTGTAACACTATCTCTTCACCTTAGAATCAATTGCAGTCTTGCAAAATAAACCCCCTTCTTTATATAAATTTTCTGACTTTTTTTTTTTTTTTTTTTTTTGACAGACATGTATCCTGCAGATCTTTGTGAATTTATTGATTTGGCCCTCAGGTGTGAAAGGTTGAAGACCCGTAGTTTAGATTATCACCATAAATGGTGCTTTGGAGATAATGCCAAATGTATCAGGGGTAAAGTCTGGTGACCGGGGTGGCCAAGAAGTAGAGAGGTGTTGCCTTATAATCCATTCATTTGTGAAATGTTGCCAAAATAACTGTGTAACACATGTACCAATGTGAGGTGGGCCCCATCCTGCATAAAAATCGTGGTGTGTAAAATGCTACGCTGCTGCAGTTCAGGTATCACGAAACGTCTTAACATTGACGCTAAGTGAGCTGTGGTCACAATGCATGTAACAGGTCCAGCTGTTGCCTGCTCATCAAAGAAAAATGGTCCAATTATGAAACTAGCTGTCATATCACACCAAACAGTGACTTTCGAAGAATGCAATGAAACTGAGTAGATAACATGAGCGATGTGTAAGAAAATGATTTCTGGAATACGCACACCTTTACAAGTGATTTGTGATTGCACATTTTCTAATCTCTAGTTGTGGTTTTCACAGAGGGATTTCTCCGTAACATGGATGGCACACTTGTCCTTTATCACCTTTAACACCTTTAAATGGTAGTTTTGTTTAGGTCAATGTTTCTTAAGGATATACAACATGTTTAACCCATGTAACAAAAGGTTAAGTTAGATTCCGACCCTTATATTGCTTAACAGTATTGCATACAGCGCCGTCCACCCCCCCCCCTTGTGTTCAGTTTTTCAACTTATTTAGTTTTTCCATGGAAAGTAAATTTCGATGGATAAATTTAGGTCCAGTAGTTTTCCTTCTACAACCATTTTAGGGTGGAACTTTAATTATAACCACCTTGTGTATATAATAGTTTGTTTTTCTGTCTCTCTCCCTATATATTATGTGTTTATGTCTATATGTTATGTCTTGTATCAGATTATTTTTCTAGTCATTTACTGCAATGTTTTTTTTTTTTTTTTTTGAAGTGTTTGTGCCACTTCTTTCTTTATTACCAAACTGAGTGTGATATTTATATTTTCTCTGAATTTAATTACTGCCACCAATTTATTGTAGCCTTTTTAAATATAATTCTGCTTCCCCCTGAATATCTGCTCCTCCTCCTGAAAAGTAATCATGAAGCAGTGCCTTATGTCAGCATAGGTAACCTATGACATTTGCCAAATATATTTATGTGACAACCTACGTATGTGTACACACACAGAGCAGATGAGAGCTGATTTCCTTTTTCAAATTCAGTGGTCATCATTCTGAGTGTTTGTTTTATTGTATTTGTGTAAAGAATTGTAATGGAACTTGAGTTTGCCAGTGGCTGAAAGCTTTGCATTTCATCAGAACTATGGTGTTTTGCTCAACAATAGAGGATGGAAAAATTTGCATTCCATCTTAAAATGAGATCAGATCATTGTGTATGTGGGGAGAATGACAGTGTATGCAATACCAAGTTGTGCATGATGCCGATTTTATGCAATTCTGTGATTTTTTTAAAACTGAAACAAAGCAGTGTTTGAAAAAGCAGCATGAGAAAAAAGTACAATTTTATCTTGGATGTTTATTTCAATTTTAATTTTTTTAATCATTTGCTGTTTTTTGAAATTCTTAGTGTGCCACCAATGTTGAAAATGGTAATTGTCTTTCAAACTTCAGCTTGATGAGAAATTAAGTACCAACAGTTAGTAACTTTTGGATGGATAATGTAGATAATCAGAAAGTTCAATTTTTTCATATTCTTAATTTTTTTTAGTATGTATGAGTGTATATAAAGACAAAAACTAACTTCACCCCTTAACTCTTCGTTTTAAATTTGGCTATTTCTCTTGTCTCCTAAAAACAGTAACTTATAATAAATTTCTCTCAACTGTGTCATTTCATAATAAATATGTTGTACGATTCTTGTATAACATAGATACATAAGGCTTCAATCTATAATAGTTTTAGAAAGTTATTACTTAATCAATCATAAATGAAGTTAAACCAAATCATTCTGATCCACGATTATGTCTTGAAGACATTGTCTCACTTCAGTGCTGCCAACTTGCTGCTCCTTTCTTCATATATAGTTAAATACAGAAGGTACTCATATAATTCTTCAAGAACAGGCACTCATTGCACCTCATCTGTGTTGGCTTTGTCAATGAGAATAAAGAAGTATTTAAATCAGTTATAACTGTAAGCTTCTTTGCAAAGAAAGTCTATGTAAAGAAGGAAAGGTTCCATAGACGTAATGTAAACCAGTTTGTCTTCTACACCACTAGAAAGAAGAGGGACAATTCGCCAAGGGATTTGCCGACGAAACGTGTTGGTGAGAATTTCCCCCTTTGCGATGTACCTGGCCGAGATTTTCCACCTTCACCACGTGTACAGGAAATTGAGGAAGACGGGTTAAGATGAATCGTTCTTTGACTTTTCGCGATAATTTAAACTCGAATTTTCGTGCTTTTTTGCATTATTAGTTGAACTTGTATTATCCATATTGCAGTTTGATGTCTGATTTTATATCTGTCAATATGTAGGGGGGGAAAATGGAGTCACACAGCTTTAAACTCTTGATAAACGTGACCGTCGAACCTGTTTGAACTTCGACATCAGCTTCGAGCTTTGGCGCTTTTTGGCGACAGATATTGCATGCATGCGCAGTTGTGTCCCTTTTCGTTCGGAGGGAGACACTCCTGCTGCTGCGAAGCTTTCCTTCTTAACAATACATATTCTTTGCTTCTTTATACATTGTCTGTCATCATTAACAACTATGTATCTTCACGACTTCAGCATTGCAGATTATTTGATAGTTTCAATTTTGATGGCATAGAACAGGAAGAAGTAGATAGTGCTGGATGCATAATAATCATTTGTATTTAGATTTGATTTCACCAAATCATGAACACATCATAGCAATATAAGTAATAGAGATGGATGTACCCTGTGTTCAGGAGTTTCATATGTAGGTTTAGCTTGTGCATCCATCCTTACCAGTTCAAGAGAAAGAATAACAGTAGCACCAAGCGTGCAAGCCAGAGAAGCAGGGAAAGAAATGTCTAGATGATACTTGAATGTCTTGATAAGACTGATTTAGTTTCTGTTCAGTTTCATTTTGGTTGATTGAGTGTTGATTAGTAACACTTGTTATTAGCTGAAACATTATATAAGCATCATTAGCATTTTGTTAGAATCAGTGAGAATTAATTTTGTAGATTAATTTTGAAATGATGTAGTTTTGAGCAATTTATCGTAAAGAGTTGTTATTTTTAGGATAGGAAGGCAAAATAACCAAATTAAAAAGGAGAACTAAGGGGCTGTTGCAAATAAAAGCTAGTAGTTTATCTTAGGGTATGCATGTATATACATGGATAAAAAATTAGATATTTAATAAATTAGAATAGTACTTTTAAAGAAACAAACAGAATAATTTAACTAAAATAGGAATCAAATTATGGTATAATCAAAACTGAAGCAAACAAGGCAGAACATTTTTATAAAAATTGGTACATTAATAATGGGAATAAGAATAAATAAATATTCATTCAACCTGATTTTTATATTTATAATTTTCTTTATATACTGTATAATTTTTTTTCAGAGGGGTCGGTATATTCAGTTTGTATTACATCAGAGTTCAATTTTTGTTTTGTTATTCTATATCTGATGCATTTGATGCTTATTTATTATTATTATTATTTTGTTTCATTCATATAGGAAGTACTAAAATTTATTTAATATTTTAAATTTTTTTATGAACTGTTGCTAAACTTGTACAAATTAAACAATTATTCTTGGGATTTCAAAATTTAATTTTAGTCTAAATTATGGTACTTTATTTTCCTTTTATATACATAAATGTGTGCATATATCTTTATATACACATACATATAAAGAGAGAGGCAACATAAGAATGCACAGATAAAAAATACAAAATATACAAATAAGAAGTATAAAAAATTACAATTTAAACAGTCTGTGTAAGGGAATATACAAGTAACTAATAGAAAACAGTCAGTGTTTTAAACAGCCCTTTTTTAAACATGTTTTTGAACATTAGCAGATAAAAGTATTAAATGCATAAAAGTAAACATGCTGATCTGGGAGAAATAGAAATATTTAATTTAATGATTCGTTTCCATCTAAAGCAAAATGATTACTAACAAAAATGTATGTTGATACACTGCAAAAAGTCAAGATTTAACATGGATGTGAAAAGACAATGTGGGTTCCAGCATATGCATAATACTGAAATTATGAAGGCTAAGTTGTTGAAAGAATTTTGGAGGGTTGTATTATGCTTTCTGAAAACCACTGGGGATTGGATACTCAAATATTTGGTCAAGACTTGACATAAATAAGTAACTGTTTTGTATCTCTGTAGTGAGCAACTATACTTGACTTTGACCATTTGAGATAGGTGTCTGATTTCTAAGTAATTTGGGTTTAATTAAACAGAGGAGTTATCTGTCTAAACCAATATTATGCTGTTTGCTTGAATACTAATTGAATTATTGCTGAAGGATTTTGAAGAAAATGTATTTATGTTTGGTAGTTTTATTGTATTTGTTCTTATTTCATTCATTTATTATTATTTTATTTTATTTATTATCATAATATGAAAAATTAAATGTTAATATGATTAAATTATATTTTTAATAGCATTATCTACTTAATTATTGTGTGTGCAGGTGTTAATTAGTTGCTGAATTGATATCTTTTGAGTATTTATTATAAATGCATTGGGTTATCCAGCCTTTTAAACATAATATGATCTCATTTAAGTCTTGCGAGTAAGTAAATTTCTTACTGAACTATTTTTGTTTAACTTGTCATTTTTAATAAAATTAGTGCAAAGCTTCTGAAATTCATGTTATTATTTTGTTTCATGAATTTTGACCATTTTTCATAAATGTAGTGCTTTTACCATTGTTTTTTTAGTTGCATACATTGAATTCTTGAAATCTTATAATGTGTTACAATATAATCTAATAATGCATGATTAATTGTTTAACATGGATCAGATGACTAGTTATGAAATTAAAACGGGCCATCAAAACTGGAAACTGAAATGCATTAAATGCTTTCTGTAGTGTTTTAGATCCATTAACTATTGTTTAATCACTTATTATTTTATTTTTATAATATAAACACTTTCATTTTCATTAGTCTTAAGGATAATCTAGATACAGTGAGCCATAACATCTATTACCTTTATACTTTGAAGTTACGTTGTGCTATTTGTTACAATAAACTCTGAAGATCATTCTTATGTTAGTTGCTTTCATGGGGGACTTTCTAAGGCAAGTTCTTTCATATTCACTTTAAATGTAGAGAATAATACTTTGTATTAGTGTAGTTAGTTTCAATTGCTAGTAAATAAACATAAAGTGAATAATCTTCATAATATTTTGATTATGCTGGAGATCCTGGAAGAGTGTGTTCCAATTTCATATAGAGTCTGACATTGTGTTTGCTGAGGTATATATGTCCCATTTAGAGAAAAATTAGGACTATTGTGGCAAATCAGACCTGAGACCTTTTTTCCTGTAGAGCTTAGGAGAGAGCAAAAAGTGAACTGTTAGTGCAGAGTAGTCTTATCCATGCTGCCACTGGAAAACTCATTGTTCACCTGAATGAACACAGGGCATTCCATAAAAACTGAGGATACAATTACAGAAATTCAAGAAAAATAGGTACAGAAAAACGTTCTTTTTAAAAGTATCTTCTCATAAATGATATGCAGCTGTCTCATCATCCAGTCTGGTATTCAAAGCATCATAGAAGACATTTTGCGGAAGCTACTTCAGTGGACCTTGTACAGCTGTAATATCACTATTTGAATTGAATTTTTGCTCTCCAATTTTTTTCTTTCAATGTAGAAAGAGCCACAAATCATATGGAGTGAGATCAGAACTGTAAACTGTTTATAGCTTGGTTTTAACAGAACATTTTGTAAGAATTTAATGAATGTAAGCAGTAACACGCTAAAAGGCGTTATTGTGATATAGCATCCACTTTGTTATCAGTTCACTTCGAATCCATACTATTTGTTATCTCGGATGCCTCAAGACTGGAATGTAGTAGCCAACACTCACTGTAATGTTTTAGCAGCAGAATGTTAGTAGACAATATCTTCACAATAAAGATTTAAAATGTCATCATCATGTTCACAAGTAATGGTTTGGCTGATGATTTTCTGGCACAGGGAGATGTTTCTAAGATGTCATGTCAAAAACTGCTGAATCATGATTATTCAACTGTGATTATTATTATTATTTTGGAAAATCCAGATCGTTTTAAACTGTTTGTCACCATGTACAATACTGGTCAACTCTGGCTAATATTCGTTTTGCTGTCAGGTAATGAAGGACCCACATGGAACACATAATAAAGCAGTAAACTGTTGTGTAGAGTACAAAATATCAATGTTTTCAAAATATTAGTGAGATTGCACAGATAGTTGCATTTTGTAAGAACACTTATAAGTTGACCAGGCCTAGGATGGAGTTTTGCTGACAAAAGTTAAGTTTTTAAATCACAGTACCATCAATAATCATCAGCTGGCTAAAACATGTTTTTAAACTTGTTTAATTAAATAAACTGTTTCTGAAATTGTTTTGACCTAATGGTAGCAAATTTTATAGCACAATTCATATTATGAATCACTCGTATGTAGTACTGAATACAAAAAAAAAAAAAAAAAAAAAAAAAAAAAAAGTTTTTAAAGAATTGCTCAGTGGTAAAAACTGAATCATCTGCTATGTTAAAAATGTTTTGCTATAGATTCTTCTCAAATTCATTTTCAGTTTCATTTTTCACTTTTGCTTTGTTGCTTAATAATCTGTTTTTATGGAATATTCTTTATACTTTGTGATATTGTTACAAAGAAAAGAGAATGAAAATGGAAATGAGAAGTTACTGCACTTGAGGGATAAAATCTCAAAAGTAATTCAATTTAAATGCTTGAAAAATTGTAACAAAATATTTGCTAAAAAAGTAGATTGAAAAGCGTTCCCCCTTCTCTCTTGTGTTGCCATCATCCTTTATAATTCTGTGCAAATTTTTATGCCAGCAATTTTCGTCATACATTTATTGTTTCAGCACCATTTATGGTTTTTCAGAGCACTGATCAGTTTGTGAATGAAGAAAGTGGGTGTTACCATTCGAAAATTTCTAAATTTCTTTCACTGAAACCATAATCATGACTATTGGAGCTGTATTGTTTTAAATCATCCCAAACCAATCTCAAATGCATACTTTCAAATAACAATACCTAAAGCATCATTTCGATAGGTTGAGGATATAGGCCACTGGGAGTTTTTTTATAACCACCTTGTACATAAGTACTAATGTTTGACATTATTTAAGTACTTGAATATAAATATTTTCAATTCATGCTTATTTGTATAGCTACATAACATTTTACAATATTTTCCTATTTAGATAATGGTACATGGACACAGCTGTGGTTAATTACTGATTATCATGAAAATGGATCTCTCTATGACTACCTCAATAAGGCTACTGTAGATACAGCTGGAATGTGCAAGATGGCTTATTCTATTGCTAATGGACTGGCACATTTGCATATGGAAATTTTAGGAACTCAAGGTATTTTATTACTTGCTATTTCCTTGTATGTAAGATAAAGCAGTGTTTTATTACTGAATTGTCACCAATTAGGTTACATATATGTCTTCGTGAAAGTCAGAGTTATTTAAATGCATTTATGTCGTGTGATTCTTTCTCCATGTATTACTGAAAATTACTGTATTATTACTGAAAAACACCAATCTGCTTTATTTTTTTTTTAATTATAAAATGTTGCTATGCTGAGGTTTACAGCTTTATAATTTAGATGTTTATGAACAATTATTTGTAAATTGCTGTAAAATGCCCTTAGTTTTTGAAGGTTTGGGGTATGGAGAACTTGTTCATACATAGCTTGGCCAAGTAAAAATTACACTTGATATGACATAAACCTGTAATCTCATATAATGGCATAGATCTCATGTAAAGTAGAACAAGGTGTTTGCCAGTTCTTCAAACTTCTGTGACCAACAAGGACTGCACTGAGGCTTTGGACTAGTTTTATGCTTGAAAATAGTTTGACCTTGAACAGTTTTATGCAACAAAAGGCTAAACAGTTTTCCCGGTCAGGCAAGGATGATGTTCGAAATAATTCTGTATAAACTAGAAGCTGGAATGTATTAACAACCATGATTAACCATGTTGATGAAATGTTTCAAAAAGGACTAAAGCAAAATTTTGTGCCATATTTTGTCTAAGTTTGCATTTGAGTTGTGGCCCTGTTCAGCATATTTCATGGGAAGTTTTGTAGTACAACGCGGTCTATTCCAAATGAATGTCACAGGAGGTATCTATCAAATAGAAAGCTGCACATGATGGCTTGTTTGATGCTCTTGCAGTGTTATCTCTTGAAATGTGGCGATTAGTCTCTGAAGTTTGTTGAATAAAATCTAAAGTATTCTTAGTATACTATAAAGGACAAACTTCTTTAAACAATTTTATTAATGAGAAAACATGATTGAAACAAATGATAAGTAGCCTTTTGAAAACAAAAATCCAATGAATGTTGTATGTTTTGAACTGTCTGTTTTGTTGCCACTTCAGCAAAGAGTTTCACGAAAGGCATTTCAGTATGGCAAATGACGTCCACATCCTTTCCAGTGATAGCATTATATCTCATAGTCTTTCAGGTATGCAGGAATTCTTAACTCTTCGTCCAGGTTTGTGTTTCTAGGATAAATGTGTTTGGAAAGATCATTGTTCCTAAGAAGTGGTGAAATTTTGGAGTTATCAGCTTCAATAAGATTTTGGAGTTATCAGCATTGTTAGATTTGTTATTTCATCTTTAAGTTTGAAATACGGTTTCAGTCTATCTGTCGATATTCTTTTAATTTTTCTTGAAACTTCCACATCGAAAAATTTCTCAAAATGTTGTTTAACTAAATATAGTCCAGGATAGGGTGGTTGAAGACAAGATGAAATTATATTATTATAAATGAATACATGTGAACAGTTTGCTAAGTCCTTGTGTACGAAAACTTGTTTCAAAGTTTCATGTTGACATTCTATTATGAGACTGTGGGTAATAAGCTGTGGTGGTGTTAGCTATGAAACCTAGGCATTTGCTCAAGGATTGGAAGAGTTTGCTGTCCGATGTTATGTTCTCTGCGATTCCAAATCTTGAAATTAGAGTCGTGACGATGGCATTTGCAATGGAATTTGCAGTTTCGTCTTCCAAAGGTACAGCTTCAAACCACTGAGTGAATGTATCGATGATGGTAATCAGATACCTACCTTTGCAAGATGGTAAAGAACGAACAAGATTGATGTTAAGGTGCTTGAAATGTTGATTGGGAACTTTGAATTTAGAAATTGGAGCATAGGTGTGTTTGTGAACTTTGGCTCATTGGCATTGCAAGCACAGAGTTGCCCACTCTCCAGATTTAGACAGGAGACTCTCGATTTTCCACCGCTCTCCTGCCAACCCGATTTACAATATATTTCTCCCGACTTTTTCCTATTCTTAAAATTTCTCACTATTTTTATGGAACTTGGCTTAATATGTTATATGAAAAAAAAAATTATTTTGGACGTCTGAAAGCAATTGAATTTTCCCTAGATCATATCTAAAACAAAACCTTGCAAATCAGATAACTTCTGCTTTGTGAGTGAGAGCATATACGTATCCACAAGGTTCTCCAGTTCTCCAATGGGCATCAAGCTACACTGCGCATCATCTAGCATATATCAGCCAATGAGCACAAAGCAAGCTCAAGGCTGTTACTTGTATGTTCTTTAGTTATTTCGTTCATCTTGTCCTGAGTTGTGTTAGTACACGTGCCTTCTGGAAATAGTTTTAGAAATTATCATCTTTTTGTTATGTCTGTGAGAAAGGTGAAATACTTGTGTACGTTTCAAAAATCAAAAACAGTTGACTTTCCTTCCATTATTTCCTCAAGGAAATGTAATAAATTTGCAATTTTTCAATTTTGCATGGTAGAAGAGCGGATGTTTTGAAACATGTGCGTACACAAAATACACAAGGACAACATGAGTTGTTTTGAAAAAAACGGAAAATTAAATTTTTCTTCGGAAACAAAGGACCAAAAAGTTATTAATGCAGAATGTCTGTTCTCTGCCTTTTACTGGAGCACAACATGCCATTGAATGCATTGGATCATGCTGCAGCTTTATTTAGAAAAATGTTTCCTGATAGTGAAATCGCTAAGAAATACTCAAGTACAAGAACCAAAACAGGTTTGCAATTGTTTAAAGAAATGGGTTTGAAAAATAAATATACAGTTATTGATTGCATTAAAACAGCTCCGTTCTACCTGTCTACGGATAGAAACAATAATACCGATTTAAAACTGTATCCAATTGTTGTTTCTTTTTTTAATCCAAAGTCTTCAGAAATTCAGTGCAGTTTATTTTCTGTCCCCACTTTAGAAGGACATTTGACAGGCTTTAATATAGCACAGCTAATTATTAACACTTTAAAAGAAAATGCAGTCCCTCTGGATAATTGCTTAGCATTTGGTGCTGAAAATGTACCAGTATGGGTAGGCTTGAAGACTGGTGTTGCAAGCATCTTAAGAAAGGAAAATTCAGATTTGCAGATTATGAGGTGCACCTGTAGCCTCTTAAATTTAGCAGCTGAAAATGGGGCATCTTCTTTACCAATAAATGTGGATGAACACATTGTTGATATTTATTATTATCTTGAAAGGAGTTCTAAAAGGAAGGAAAAATTGAAACAGTTCCAACAGCCGCATAACAGTAGTTTACAATTAGAAAACTTGGATGAAGTTATAAAATCAGCTAGGATTGACACCCGGTGGAGTTTAATTCGAAAACTGGAAGGTGCTGATGAAATTTTAAAATATAGTGAACTGTCTAGAATTATGTTGGCTATCTTGTCTGTTCTCCATAGTAATTCAGAGTGTGAGAGGATATTCAGTGTTGTTGCGAAAATGATGACTAAATTTAGATCTAATATTAGTGATGACACATTAGAAAAACTTTTATTAGTGAAAGCAGGCCTACGGCCTACGTGGCAATTGCTATGAACAAAATTATGAAGTTTCTTTCTTGAAGAAAGCAAAATCTGCCACTGTTTATAACATTTGTACAAAAACTGATTAAAGTCTCTCTCCTCTTTTTTTTTTTTTTTTTTTTTTTAAACTCTTAAACGATGCAAGTAATAAAAATGTTTTTTATGTTTAAGGTATTTTTGTGTTGCTTGCATTTAAGAATTAGTTACTATTTAAAGTTAATTCATTATTAAAAACTATATTTTTATCATTTAAAAAGTCTTTTTAACATTGTGAAAAATCTCCTGATTTCTTAAAAAAACTCCTGATTTTTTAGTGTCATAGGTTGGCAAGTATGCAAGCATACTCTAGGACACAGCGTGCAGTCTGTTTATGCCAGGCAAAATAAATCTTTTTATCACCAGTGTCGTTGTTGCTCAAATTCCAAGATAGGATAAGTTATGTATAGAAAAAAGTACTCTTTCGTGAAATTCTTTAGGAACATTTGGCTGTAGCAGAGGTATCACAACAAATTTTCTTATTGCTATCAGGGATAGGAATTTGAACTATTTTGAAAGTGGAATTTGATTTAAGAATCTTGAGGTCTTCATTCTTATAGGGATCTGCAATAACTATAATCAATTGGAGCTGGAATAGTGATGGTTTGATGGAGCTGGAATAGTGATGACAACGTGTCTGCTATGATATTTCCTTCTCCGGAAATGTAGCATATGTCTGTAGTGATTTCAGCTATATAGTTCAACTGCCGGACTTGTCTTGGAGAGGCGTTATCTAAATTCTGCTGGAATGCGAAGGTGATAGATAGGTTTTAGATCAGTAAAGATAGTAAATGATTGTCCTTCCAAAATGTGTTTAAAATGCTTTATCGCTAAGTAGATTGAAAGTAATTCTCGACCGTATGCATTGTTATTTCTCTGTGTTGATGATAGGGATCGGGAGAAAAAGGTTAGCAATAGTTTTTCGTTATTGTATAGTTCATGGATCATGGCACCCACGGTGGAATCAGATGCGTCTGTAGTTAGGGTGATCTGCACCATCTGGTTGGGGTAAACTAACATTGTTGAGTTGCACAGTGTGCTTTTGATATCGGTAAAAGCTTTCTGTACATCTTTAATCCAAATTAAAGGTGGTTGTTTTTGGTTGTTGTTGCCTTTTTTCACTCCTTTAAGCGAGTTTGTCAATGGTTGTAGTTTGGCGCAGTTTGGTATGTAGCGATGGTAAAAGTTCATTATTCCCAAAAATCTGCAGAAGCTTTTGAAGGATTCTGGTATAAGGTATTGTTTAATTGTATCAACGTTTGATGGAAGCGGTTTGATTCCTTCCATTGATAAAAGACCAGTTGAAATATCTATGCAGCCCTAAATCCAGTTCTAATAATTTTTACCATAAGTTTTGATTGTTGTACCATTAGCAGCAAATAGTTCAAGCTTAGCCACAATTCTTTTTTCCAATGGTGATAATGGGATAACCCATATTTCTGCTCCAGTGTCAATTAAAAAATGGGTTGCTGATGCCTTGTCAAGAATATATAGAACAACTCAACTGGACCCCCTTGACTTTTGGTCATTATTGAAAGTCAGGGATTCAGTTTTCCTGTTTCAAAACCTGGTATTTGCATAGTGGGGTGCACTTGTAGCTCTCTCGCCCAAAGCGTTGATGAAAATAAGTTATTTGGGTCACGGTTATTTTTGGAATAATTTGTTGTATTCGATCTATATGTTCATCTTTGTAGACTGAAATTTCTATGCTTGTTCATTTCTGCTATCTGCAGTATCAAGTTTGATATCTGTTCTTTAGATCTTGGGCTATAATGTTATCAGGTGTTGGAGAAGCAATGCGAGCTACCTGGGATGGATTGGAAATTAATTCCTGTATTTTATCAGCCATTGTAGATAGTTTGGACAAATCATGGCTTCTTACAAGCATATTTTCCCAATTAATTCTCATGAACGGGGTCACCAATGAAGTTGGTTAAATAAAATCTGAAGTATTATTAGTATTCTATAAAGGACAAACTTCTTTAAACAATTTCATTAACGAGAAAACAGGATTGAAACAACTAATAAGTAGTCTTTTGAAAACAAAAATCCAAAATGTCTCTTTTTGTTGCCACTTCGATGAAAGAAAAATCACATGCAAAGAGTTTCACAGAAGGCTTCAATATAGCAAATGATGTCGGCGCAGTCTTTCTTAGCCTTAACTGTGACTGAAGGTGAGTTACTAGTCCTTCACTTCATTCCCAATAGCATGTGAGCTTCCATGTAATGGGAACTTTCTGCTTCGCCATGAAGGAGGATGTTTAAAGTAACATCACATGATGAAGAGTGTCTTTTAAAATTCTTCAAATGGAATATTTGCAGACATTTTAAGAATATTCAAACAATGGATTGTTATGTAAGGAACCTCTCATATTAAGCATACAGGATAATTTTACTGTTTCATAAAAATAAATTATTTTGAAATCCAGATCCCTCATAGTTATGAGACCCCTTAAAAATCCACCTTTGTGCAGAAGCACGACCTGTGATGGTTTGTTAGGTTATATGGTGAAAATTAACATGCCTGCAGAATCCTTGCAGAATTTTTTTCATAGTAACATGAATCGAGTGTAACAGTTCACCCGTTCTGATGAAATCTGAAGAACTGTCTGACCCATAAACAGTTATCCTGCCACGATGATTGTAATCTCTTTTCTACTCTAAAACAATATCTTTGTATTTGATGGTGATGTAAAAACTGCTGCAAAAAAGGTGGCTCCATTAGCTGCATCACAGAATTTTCCCTGCAGAATGCATAAACCCACCAAAAGTTTTCAAGAAGTGTTATTTGGGCAGTACCAGGTCTTATGCACCTGGTTGTCATATTTTGGTTCTTCAGTTCATATATTTAAGAAAAATATGCTAGGTTTAGAAAGTAAAAATATTTCAGCATTATCACTTTATAAACATAGGGCGAAATTGTAAATTTTATTGCAATAAAATTTAATGAAAACATATAATTAGCCTTTGAAAATCACGTGTAAGTATGGAATAGATGCAAGCTAATATCATATATAAAAACAGAGCAAAAATCAATGTTTGGATCAGTGTTGGTTTTGCAGAATACTACTAGTACTACAGTTTTAAGGTCATGAGATTCCTCCTCTGCAAGAAAAAACACACCTTTTTTAGCATCTGTTCATTAAATTTGCTTTTGTCAGAATGCCTTTACATCTGAAAACAGACCTTGTGTCTACTATTCCTGTGAATTGATGGAGTTTTCTCTAAAACCAATGTTAACCAATTTAAAATTGATTTTCGCCTAATTTTATGATTCTAAGTGTATTTATTTTGATTAGGTCTGCACAATTTATTTAAACATGTAAATGAACATCATCTTATCCTTCATGGAATATATCTGCTTTCAGTGTGATGCACTTTCATGATAAATTACATTTCAAATTATATATATATTGTATAGTCCTCTTGTTCCTGTTCATTGAGGACTTGTGATTCTTCAGTTAAGAGATGTTTGCTTGTTCACCACTGTAATCATTGTCTTAATTTTATAAGATCTTGTCATCTTAGCTATCATGCAAAGTTTCTAGACCACAAAGTTCAACCCGGCAACTTCTCTCTCAGAGTAACACAACAGGGAAATGGTGTAAAAAAGCCCTTTTTATTTATCACAATTCTTTAACAGAAAGGCAGTCTTTGTGCTTACAACAACGCCAGCTACTTGCAGTGAGAACTTAAGATAATTTAGTAATAAATTCAAAAGCTAAGAGGTGGTGCTAGACTACATGATTTATTTTAATCTAACAGGCTGACTGAATAACCTACACCAGCGATATACTAATTAAACATCCAGAATGTGTAGCCGCTACCAAGATTAATAGCTGTAGGACAAAATAGCAAACGTATACGTACTATCCTAGCGAAATCACGTTGTCAAAACCTTCTTATTTCTAGCATATAAATACTCAGGTTTACCTACTTAATTTGCATTCTGGCTAGGAAATGCAAGAAGAAAATAATAGAATTCGGAAAAAATACAAAAATTAAAGTAAAAGATGATGCTTAGCATTCAAAAATTATTCCAGATGCCCTAGTTTCACTGTATCTCATTTTACATCAATGTTTGTGACTATTAAAATATATTTTTTTCAGCGATGAATTTCTAGTCTATCATAATAATTGTATTAATTATTATGCACATTTTTATAAACCAAGAGTTGAAAATTTTCAATATATGTTAGTTTTTAATTTGTCATCTTAAATACAAGACTGAGTATATAGATATGATCCATATTACATAGAATAGTGTATTGAAATCCTAACATCAGTCTATTTATCTTTGAAATGCTTTTCTTTTTAAATGCGTATTTGTGATAATTGTACTACCAAAGCAAGAGGCAGAAGGCATTTCTTTAAAAGTGTATAATTAATGTACGGTGATATAAAAATGTATTTATTGTATTTTATGAATGCACTGCAGTGTGTTATTCTGCATGTTGTTCCTTTCTTTCTATTGGGGTTGGATGAGATGAAGTTATTACAGTTTCACTCAGCTGAAGTTCAGCATTATAAAATGGCTTTACATCATTATTAATTAAATTTTATGTATAATTCACAATTTTATATCGTAATAACATTTGTGATTGTTTTTATTTATTGCTTTCTGACATTTTATTTACCTTAGGCAAACCTGCAATTGCCCACAGAGATTTGAAAAGTAAAAACATTCTTGTAAAAAACAAAGGATCTTGTGCTATAGCTGATCTGGGCTTAGCTGTTAGATTTGACTCTGTCACAAATTCAGTTGACATTCCACCTAATCCAAGAGTTGGAACTAAACGTTACTTAGCTCCTGAAGTATTGGATGAAACTATCAACACCAATCATTTTGATTCATTTAAAAGAGCTGATATTTATGCTTTTGGATTGGTACTTTGGGAAATTGGACGGCGATGTGATATTGGAGGCAAGTATTTTTGCTTAATAATTGGTAGGAAATTATTTTTGTATATTTCTGTCTTTTAACATTAATTTTGTGCATTAAATGATGTAGCAATCTGTGAACTAACTGAAATTAATTTAGATGTCATTTGCCAGTATTCCAGTTATTGTTTTAAGGAGTGCTCAAAGTTTTTTGTCTCATGTTTTATGTTATGCAATATTTTAAGTAATAATTTTATTTTCATTCATAGTCAGAACTTTTTAGGTACTTGTTTAAACAGTAAAAAAATTTTGCTGCATGCCAGCAGCATAAAATATTTATATGCTAGGAGTAATACCCCAGTTACATAATTAATTATATGGAAATTAATGGCAGCTTTCCTGAAAAAAAGGAGGAAAGAACCCTCTATACTTTCCCATAATTATTGTTAGTTTATTGGCAATTTTTGGAATAGCCAAATGCATTGCTGTCAAGTTCTTAACCTCTCTAGATGGTGTTATTGTTAATTGTGATAAAGTTTTCTTCATCATAAACTGGTTGATGTAAAGTTTTGCAAATCAAAAATTGTATTTTTTTTAAAAATCTACAGTATTGTAAAAATCTTTATCATGCATAGAACTTGGTTTCAGTTTAATTTGAGCTGAAATTTTATTAATTAAGCTTTAATTATTTATTGATTTACTGATTAGTGCTGTTCTAATGCTTGGCATTCAACAACTATAGCTCATGCTAGTTTCTATACTAACATCTGGATGCAACTAAGAGAATTGTGGTGTCTGGAACTTCTGATAATTTCTGGTTAGCTTTAAGTAATTTATTCTTCAACATTAAAATTAGCGTTTTACTAACATAAAATTGGTATACTTTTTTTAAACTTACCTTTTTCCCTATTTTTGTACTTACTTCCCATAAAAACTGAAAATATAAGCACAGCCTCTCAAGTTTGTAAATGAACACATTGTTATTATTACATTTTTTTCCCTTGGTTGTGGTCAGCCTATTTTATGCTAACATGTAATCTGTGTATTTGCTGTTTTCTATCTTTAAAAAAGTATGTGGTGATGATATACAAAGATCCATGTTAAAGATTTAAAAAAGGATTATTGTAAGTCAAATGGATTTACAATAATCATCTTTTGTGAAAGTCTTACAATAACTTTGCAATGAAAAAATCAAGAACTTGGTGACTAACTAACACCATAAGAATTTCTAAAAATTATTGGCAGGATTTCAACTTCTTCATAGCATGCTTTGGGAGTTGATCCTAATGTGAAATACAGCATTTATTATCACCTAGTGCATTGTAGTAAAGAAAGTGTAAAAAATTCCTAGTTTCAGTTACTTAATTTTCCATGTAAGCTGAGATGACAGTAGAACCAATTAACATGATTTCACAAGGTATTGTATGGAAATTATGCTGAAAATGTAAATCCCTATGAAAATGCTTAAAACATTAAAAAGAAAATGATTTCATTTCATTTTTATTTATAAAATATTTTTAATCGATAGTATTTGATTTGCTGTGCACCATGATTTGAGAGAGTTGCCGTAGTTTGCTTTTCTATAAGTTATTTTATGTATTTTATTTTTTTAGGGATTCATGAAGAGTATCAGTTGCCATATTATGATATGGTGCCTTCTGATCCTAGTATAGATGAGATGAAGAAAGTTGTCTGTTTTGATAAACAAAGGCCACCAATACCTAACAGATGGCAGTCATGTGAGGTCAGTGTGTGATTTTATTTAACCCTTTAACTGTCAAGTTATTTTGATGATTTGGGTACACAAATTGTCAAATTTTTTTTATTGGAAAAACCAAATGTAGCCGAAATAAACATCTCCCGATATATATTCGAGTATGACAATACGATGCACTCAAAAAAAAAAATTACCCCGAGAAATACTCGGGCGTGACATTTTCGAACACAATCTCGGGCATGACAGTTAAAAGGTTAACCCTTTCAGAACGGGCATGTTCCATATATGCATTCCCTAAGAATGTCTCTTACAGCCGGCATCCCATCCACGCATCGCTAGAGATTGCATTCAGAGGATGGGTGATGCGTGTACGCATTTTAAGCTGGAATGTTTTTCTGAAGACCACTAGATGGCATCCTGTGTGCATTACTTTTGAAATAAACACAGTTTTAACTTCCTGACCTTGAGTTTGATGTATTCTGCTTGACTTTGGTATTTTATTCATCAGCTCTTGTGGGGGGAGGGGTTAAAGCATAAACAGAGGTGAGCTCTTTAAATTGCTGCATGCTAATAAAAACATTGGCGTGTCTGATTTATATCCAATTCCTTTTTTTTATTCTATTTTTTCCTTTGTTATGTACGGTCGTTTAGGGTTAGTATGTGGAGTATTGTTACGTTTTGCATTACCTTCAGTTATATTTCTGTTTCTTCTCTTTTTATTGTGGAAAGCCTCACCTTCAGTCTATTATGGCGGGGAGGCGCTATTGATCAGATGAAGAATACCCTCGTATGGTCAATGAACCATTTATTAACGCAAATGAGAGTGATGATTCATTTTCTAAAGAGTTAGATAGGGATACTTCTTCGTACTTCGAGATTTATCGCAGTCTTCATTTTAAACTTTGTTACTTCTTACTGTAAATAATCTCTGTTGTGTTGTTTTATTAATTTTAAATATTGATGGATTTTTATCAATAAAAATTTTGGAATAATTTGAATAGCACTTCCAAAAATTATTTCACAAGATAAGCAATTTTTTAAGTATATTTTCATGTAAAATAAAGATAAAAACGTTTTTAAGTGCTAATTTTAACATATATAAGAGCTCAAGTAATAATCTATAATGATACCAAAAATTACGATGCTGGAAGTGAAACTTTTTTTTTCTGATTTTTTTTTATAATATTAGGCTTAGCGATGCAAAACCTCCGTCCTGTACAGTGACTGCCTGCGATTCCCTTCCATCCCGCACGAGCATCTTAAACAAAGGTATGCCGTCGCAAAAAGGTTAAATACCACAAAACTTTAGAATTCAATTGTAGTACTTGGCATAAACTAGCCTAAAAGCACACTCACAGCTAAAATGACCAGTTTTGCACTCAGACATATTTCACACATACTGCAGCATTTTGGAAGTTCTGACTTTTTCCCCTCACTTGGGCTCCAAACTTGGTATAATTGCAGAGCTGTTTATAATATTGCAGTGAGGGGAAAGATGCAACTAAAATTTTCGTATGAGCTTATAGCGACAAAAGAAAAAAAAATGTCTTAGATGTATTGCTCAAAATAAAAAGACTTTGCTCAAAAAAAAAGCTCAAAATACAAAGATGATTTTGCATGATCAGAATTAATCAAAATGTAATGAATATAAATTTTTGAGGACCATATACAAATATTTCTTAAAGAAGGTATGTTGAGTTTTTTAAGTATTTATTTCTGTGGGGTACCTTTCACATTAGGAATAAATAATTTAGACACTGATTTTCAGATTAACATTTGAAATTTTTTGTATGATGAAATTCAATTTTGTATGATACCTTAGCTGCACTAGTTTATATCTTTATTTTCTCTGCACTCTGGTCTTTGTCTCTGTATATTTTTCACTGCCCTTCTGAAAGGTATGTTGTTTGATTCATTTTGTGAGTTGGAGTTCTACACCAACTGCTACCAGAGATATGTAGTCCTGCAGTCTTTTTCTAAACACTATGTATAATTCACAATGATTTGCAGCTCTTCCTTTTCTCATATGTATAGTTACTCAGACATACACATGTACTCTCATGCACATACTTATATGCACTTAATATACAACGCAACCGATGGGGCAGCTTCCGACCTGAGGCCATGTTACCAAATGGAATTAAGTACTGCCCCACCGAACTTACAATCTACCATGTTGTGACCCCACAGAGCAAGGGCAGACAAGGCAGTACCCGTACGTTCCCTGCCGAGCCTTACTCTGTCCCGTGAGCCCTCAGGCCTTCTGTGAAGTCTGTTATTATGCCCCATGGTTGAGACTGCCTAGGTACAGATCCTAACCAGTACTCCCAGGCATTTGCCTGAGTCAACCCCCCCGGGGGAGAAGCACTTAATATACACTGACAAGTCAAAGCATTATGACCATTCCACATTTTTCAATGAACTCATTGGCACGTGATTAAGTAGAAATGGTATTTAACTGTTGCTGGAGAAGGTAAGGGATCATACTTGCACTTCCCTTTGTGACTGTTGGGAAAGGCTGCAGATCTAAACAAATTTAATAGAGGTTAGACAGTAATAGTCAGAAAACTCGGAACAAGTATCTCCGAAACTATGTAACTTGTAGGTTCATGATCTGACGTTAGTAATTACGCAAAGTGGATAAATGATGGTGAAGCCAGCAGTAGACCCCAAGGTGTTGGACGTAGCGTGTCATCAAAGAAAAAGTACGTCAGAAACTGGTCTGCTTAGTACAGCAAAATCGACACCATACAGTGGCTCAACTGACAGCCCTATACAATGCATGTACAACCGCAAGTGTTTCAGAGCACACAATTCAGCAGATACTGTTGGATATGGGACTGTGCAGCAGACATCCCACTCATGTGCCTCTGTTGACCAAGCATCATTGTCAACTAGACCTACAGTGGTCCCAGGAACATCTAGACTGGACCATGGATAAGTAAAAGACAGTTGCCTGCGTGGATGAATAATGATTTCTCATTTATCACATCAAAGGTTGTGCCAGGGTATGCCGTCTTCCAGGCGAGTAGTTTGCCGCCCCTTGAAACAGAAGGTCATATACAGGCTGGTGGTGGTGCAGTATTATGCTTTGGGAGATGTTCTCATGGTCGGTTATGAAACCCACAGTGTTAAAAGAGACCATGAAAGCAGTGGTTTGTCTGAACATCCTTACACGGTGTCTGTCTTACATGTACACTTGGAAAGACAGATGCCATGCAAGGATGCAACAGATCAGTTGCATCCTTACATGGCATCTGTCTTTCCAAGTGGAAATGGAATCTTGCATCAGGACAAGGCCTCATGTAACAAGGCTTGAATTGTATTGGAATGGTTCAAGGAACATAAGGATGAATTCCAAGTAATGCCACCTAACTTGCGGGATCTTAATCTGATACAGCACATTTCGCATGTCATGGAGCAGCAGCTCAGAGCTCAACTACCACCATGTCAAAATATATATGCAGACCAAAGGTTCTGCACTGCATTATTGAGTAGGTGGTCATAGTGTTTTGGCTCTTCAGTGTATTACTCAACAGTATTTCTTTGATTTTAAGATGCACTCCTCAATTTTAGTACTACCAATGACAAGCAGGGAACTGATTCCAGGTAAAAGAAATAGATGAAATGAGCACTAAACTATACCTAAAAATATTTTTATTGTAACATAACTAATATTTAACATGATTACCAAGTTTTTCAGTAAGTATGTTATTAATCACATCTTTTTGAGTCAATATAATAGTCAGATGTTTCTAAACTGTGGATCTTTCAAACCAATGAGAGTGTTGGTAATGAAACATTTTTCAAGGAACAACACATGCAGAAACGTAATATTGGCAACCACTTGCAAGAATGGGGAAAATTTTAAAATATGGAAAGAATTTAAGAAGTGAAAATTTTTTCTAAGAATGTGTTCATTTTTATTAAAGGTGTGATAAGTGTAGGAAGTCGGTCTTAGACTTGGAAGAAACTGGCATTTTTTATTATTCACGTTCATAGAATTGTCATTTTTTGTTTCATTCAAAGAGTTTTGTGAGTGTGTGTACATATATGTATGTATGTTAATGGGTTTTAAAATTTTAAGATCGCACTTCATTGCTTAATTTTAACATTATTTCTGAGAAACTGTCATGTAGGATCACAATTGACTCAAATATATTAATAAATACATTTCCCTTCTTTTAAACTTCCATTTAAGTGACAAAATATGTTTGATTTGTAAATGGTACCAAGAATGCATGCTGTTTATTTTAAGACCTTAATTCATAAAAGGAAATGGAAAAAAAGCATCTAAAGAAATGAAAAGGGCCATATCACAAACCGTTTCATGTCTAAATGAAGAACATTAATCATTAATGTAAATCAAAATCATAAAAACAACCTTGTATTTAGCGTAGGTGTAATGAAACACTCAATCGATTTCGAGGGCAGCTAAAGGTCCCTCCTCATCAGGAGAAAGGACTTTTCTGATGAGGAGGGACCTTTAGCTGCCCTCGAAATCGATTGAGTGTTTCATTATACCTACGCTAAATACAAGGTTGTTTTTACGATTTTGATTGTCACATTAGCATGTTTCTCTTCTAGTCTATTAATGTAAATATTTTATAGTACTTTCTATAAAGAGTAGACTATTTGTTTAGTTAAAAAATCACTATCACTTAAATTACTATCTCCAAATTTATTTGGAATTTTGACTAAAAGCAACCTGATTTATAAAGTGCTTAACAAAAAATGTTCCAAACTCACAACTGACTGTTAATATCCCATCATAAATGGCAAAATCTAGTATTAAATTTAAGATGCTCCTAACAAGGATGGTCCTTCAGCCTCAAAGTCATGAATTTCCTCAAAACATGGTATATGAATCTGCTGATCTTGATATTAATAAAAATAAGTTAGCTGCTGATATTCCGTAGAGAGGCAGTTAAAAACTAAAAAATAAACAAACTGTAATTTGGCTATGCAGGGCTCTGACAAATTTCCAAAGTTTTAAATTCTGTAGTTTTAGATCAGATATAGAAAAG